GGGTTTCACTATGTTGGTCAGGCTGGTCTTGAACTCCCGACCTCAGGTGATCCACCCGCCTTGGCCTCCAAAGTGCTTGGATTATAGGCGTGAGCCACAGCACCCAGCCCGCCATTTTAGTTTTTAGCAGAGAGCTGTCATAATCAGATTTGTATTTTGGAAAAAAAGAAAATCTTCACTGTTCCCAAAAGAATTTGTGGGGGGCCAGGCTCGGTGGCTCATGCCTGTAATCCCAGCACTTTGGGAGGCCGAGGCAGGTGGATCATGAGGTCAGGAGTTCGAGACCAGTCTGACCAATATGGTGAAACCCTGTCTCTACTAAAAATACAAAAATCAGCTGGGTGTTGTGGAGCCTGCCTGTAATCCCAGCTACTCGGGAGGCTGAGGCAGGAGAATTGTTTGAATCCGCGAGGTGGAGGTTGCAGTGACCCCAGATCACGCCATTGCATTCCAACCTGGGCAAAGAAGTGAGACTCCATCTCAAAAAAATAAATAAATGAATAAGAATCCTGTGGGATATGGACATTATTCCTTTCCTTTTCAGACAGGAAAATTGAGGCTTAAAGGGGAAGTAACTTGCTCAGGTTGGTAAATGGACGGACATGAATGTGACCAGGGCCAACTATATAATTTGCAGAGCCGAGTGCAAAAGGAAAATGAAGAGGAATCCAGTTTCCTCTTCTCGCAAGCCTCGGCTCCAACCCCTGGCAAATGGGCGACGCCCGAGGGATTGTGACCTCCCCACTGGAACGCACCAACTACCTGGATGGGGGTAGGTGAGAGAGTCCAGGGCTGCCTGCCACGCCTCCACTTCTGATCCTTGTTTTGCCTGAGCTCCCGAGGGGGACAAAGGTGACAGTGGAATGAGAAACTCTGGCAGAGGATGACAGCAGTGGTGGGGCTGGTCTGGGCGTGGAGACCACACGCATGAGCTGAGGCTCCAACTCCTAACCCCGGCGCATGCTTCACTGTCTCATCTGACGCCACTTACAAAACAAGTTCAAGGCTAAAATTATGACACATTTCAAGTCCACAATCACAGAACATTGAACCCCAAGCCCGGGGCCTTTCTGAATGCAGGGCCCTGGGCAAGGGCACTGATCACAGCCTCATGAAGTCAGCCCTGTTCGTGCCACCCTGCCAAATGCCTCTAAGGAGAGGAGACGCTCCTGCCCAACTCAGCCCCCTCCCGGGACAGCAATAATGTCCCCTCCCCTAGTGAATGGGGATCTGCAGTCTTCTCTTTGCCTTTCAATTTCGGGCCCTGGAGTCAGCTCAGGGCTGTGGCCCCTTCTCAGGCAGCCCCTGGGGAGTTGGGCCCCAGCCCACCTGCCAATACCTGACCTGCTGCCGATACCTGATGCAGATACCAGTACCTGGCCTGAAATGAGGCCTTCCTGCCTGGCTAACTCACCCAGTACAGCCTGAGAACTTGCCCTGCCCAGTCCTCTACGTCTGAAAGCATTTTATTCTGTGATTAATGTGTCAGCTCTGTGAATGGACAGGGTCTCATGGAGGTCAGAAAGCATGCCCTTTGCACTCAGGCAGATTTGGGTCTGAATTCCTCTGCCACTTAGTAGCTTTGACACCTTAAGCAAGTTACATAACCTCTCTGATCTGGAAAATGGGGTTAACAATCCTACCTCACAGGACTGTAAGAAGTCAGTGAGAAAGTACACGGAAGGTACGACTTCCCAGCAGTGGTGAGCACCAGTAATAGCTGGCTATTATTATTTACTGTAGCTATGGACACTTGCTTCCTTCTGCAAGGACCTGTGAGCTAGTTGCGCTGGGTTTCACTACCCCACTGGCAGAGCAGGGGAGGCCATGGGGCACTGCTGGCCACAGCGTCACCCCTGTTCCAGCCTTCCCCAGCCCCCTGTCTCATGTTCCTTGAGGACCACGTCGGGAACAGGACTCCCAGACTCACCTGCTGGCTTCTCCCCGATGTCCTGTTCCGGTTCAGCCATGAGTCGCCTCTATAGTCTGTCAGATGTGCAGCCTCTCTCGCATTTATTCACAAGCTCCCAGCCAAATAAAAAGCACTTTCTAAAGCCTCAGCACATCTGTCTGCAATGCAAGAACAGTGTGTTCTTGTCAGCCCGGTGAGACAGCGCAGGGTCATTTATTTTACAGATAGGGAAATGGAAGCTCCGGTGTGTTACATGAATTGCAAGTGAAGGGAGGTTCTGAAGTTCAAGGCTCCATACTCCCTTCTCAGGCAGGCCAGTAGTACTCACCCAAGGGAATGGTGCCCTTTGGAGGAGAGGCCTCAGAGGCGCAGCAGGAACCCAGCCAGACCCTAGAAGGGGCCAGGCTCTCCTTGGAAAAGGTTGCTAGCTTCCACATCAAGGGTAAGACAAAAAAAA